ATCAAAGTTTCTAAGAAAATAGCACTAAAATTGGCATATACTTGATGAAGTGGACTATGAGGGCTCCAAATTCAAAAAAAAAAATCGAATTTCGTTTGAGACCTCTTTGGCCTTTACAAATCTGTGTTTACACAACCAAAGCTAGCTTTCCATGTAGTATTTTTTTTGTACTCAGCACATGTGTAAATATTGTGAAAAACCCAGTTGAACGACCTATGCTAAAACGTGAGTATTTTTGTTACCGATCAATCTAATTAAAATTAAATCTTCACATCGCTCCCGTTTACTGATATGTCGCGTTGAAGATCTAACATTATCTCATAGAGGGTCACGTCAGAGGTCAACATGAATGCATTATCGCATTTATAACAAGCCATCAAAACGCGACATAACTCTTTCATTCAACCAATCAGAAATCAGGACCTGTAGCATTTAATGCAAGCACATCGTAGCCCAAAATCCACTTACAGAAATGCGTAAGCTCTCATCTGATTGGTTAATGCAAAGGTCGCCTGAACATTACTCTCTACGGGATGTTGTTAGATCTTCAACGCGACATATCAGTAAACGGGAGTGATGTGAAGATATAATTTTAATTAGATTGGTTACCGAGTAGGTGCTATTCAGTTTAAGACAGTTTAAGAAAAAACTACTTGCGTGGGTCAAATTTGGGGTTAGAAATCATGTTTTTTTTTTATTTTTTAGCATGTATTTTGAGTTGTTAACCACGGTTTTCACAAGTCCCGAATCTGGAAAAATCACATTTTGAAATAAAACTCATTTTTCTGAAACAAATGTGTTCAATGTAGTTTATAAGAGTGTGTATACATGTCAGTCAAGTAGTTCCGCCCTTGTCAGTCTCAGACCACCAGTATGTTGGTATACCTATATTTTGAGTATTTAGTGTGTACATGTATACATGTCAGTCTATTAGTCCGGCCCTGACCAGTTCTCAGATCACTAGTGTGTTGATATACATGTAACTAGATTGTCAGTATACAGAGTATATACATGTCAGTCTAGTGGTCCGGCCCTGACCAGTTCTCAGATCACTAGTGCGTTGATATACATGTAACTAGATTGTCAGTATACAGAGTATATACATGTCAGTCTAGTAGTACTGCCCTGACCAGTCGCAGATCACCAATTTATTGTTTTACCTTGATTGTGAGTATAGAAAAACATTCCAGCCCCGACTGGTTTCAGCCCCCAGTGTGTCAGTATACCTAGATTGGGAGTATAGAGTGAGTACACATGTCAGTCTAGTAGTGCTGCCCTGACCAGTCCTCGAACAACCAGTTTGTTGGTTTAACTTGATTGTGAGTATAACGTGCGTTTGTATGTCAGTCTAGTAGTCCTGCCCCGACCAGATCGCAGACCACCAATGTGTTTGTATATCTATATTTTGATGTTATAGTAGTAGTCTAGTCCTGATCAGTGTCCTATCACCCCCCTGTGTGCAAGATACATGCGTGTAGTGTATTCGTGTGTGTTTTGGATGGCTGCAATATGTTCGTTATTGTCTCCTGGTGATAGCGTGGAACTGATGCCGACTGTATAGTGCTACCTCACTGAAACATACTGCCGAAGACATCTAGCAGGACACCCCACCCGGTCACATTATACTTACAACGGGCGAACCAGTCGTCCCACTCTTAAATTTATGAGCGTTAAGCAGGAGTAGAAACTATCACTTTTACAGACTCTAGTATGTCTCGGCCAGGGGACAGAACTCAAAGCCTTCCTCACAGGGGCGAACGCTCAACTCAAGTCCAAAAATAGGGCATTGTCAAGGGAGACATAAGGAGATCCCAAATTTAGTCCCCTCTTACGATCATGGAATTGGGGCAGCAGGTACAATTCGTACGCCCTACCAGCAGGGAAATTAGGAAAATAATTAAAACGTCAACCAACTTAAATTGAATAAAGGCGGAAAGTAGCATCACACCAAACGGATCATTTTCATTATATGCACATTTGTTTTTATTCAGACATCACGTGGTTGGGTATCATTTGAACTACGCTTAATATATTTTTGTCAAAGAAAAGAAGTGGCTTGTCATCATGGAGAACTTCATAGCTGTAATATAATCTTGATTGCATGTATTAGGATGTTGAATCTCATCGCATTACACAAATGTTTATTATGATTTTTTATTTCAAGTAATTTTATAGCGTCCTATACGGCTTCTTTTTATGTGTTAAATGTTAGCACTGCTTACTGATGGCCAGGCTAGTCTTCAAATTCCTGTCCGCTTTTCATCATATTTATGTTTACATGACTGAAGGCTATCTGTAGCATACTTTAAGAACCTTACGGACATATCGACCTTAAAATACCACATTACACAATCAAACATGTCTATATAACGTAGTGTTTAAATCTAGTCTCATCACAACATGTGTGACAGCACACAAAAATCCCCTTTCTGTCGTGGTGACCTTGTCCTGATATACAAATATCTGGTTTGCAAAAGACGTAAACTTTACCCGCATACCAGACAGCTGTGTAGGTAATACAATATGAGTAGAGCGGACACACGCCTCCTTCGTAGGGTGAATGCGCTTTAACTTAAAGTCAACAAGCATATACAAGTAACTTTTTTCTCAATATCTAATAAAATAGCAGGTTTGTTTATTATTGGTGTGCATATCCACTATAAACCCAAATTAAGTGAAGTACGCCCACTGCTGAAAATAATTGTTGTCGAATTTACTTGAACTACTTGTTTATCCAAAATAACGCACAGGCATTGCTTGGCATGGTACAATGTACTGCTGCTGGTGTCCTATCAACTGGCATATGTTGTTGTTTATCTTCTTAAGTTTCAGTTCTGCTCATAATGTTGGTGCCATATATATAATCGCAACAAAATGAATAGTTTAACTGTTTCACAACTTTCATATAACCATTAACTATTGTCATCATATGTGCCAGTACCACTGTTTCCGCCAACCCCAGTCCTTAAACTACCCATGTACTGGTTTAACTGTTCTAAGCACCATTACAAGTATTGCTACTGCCACCTGATGTAGTAGTATAATAATTGTCACCCTATGTACTGGCATCACTGCTGTCACCCTATGTACTAATTACTTCAGTTGATAGCGTATATTACAGTATTACTGTTGTTACCATCAGTTAAAGTATAACTGTTGACATACTAAAATATAGCATTCCTGATGTCCTCCTATGCTTTGGTTTGACTGTTGTCACACTATGTACCAGCATTACTGTTGCCACTGCATGTACTAGTATTTCAGTTGTTACCTCATTTACTAATATTATTATTATCGCTTTATGTTCTAGTATCATTTCTGTTACCCTAAGTACTACTATTACTACTGTCACCCTATGTCCCAATATTACTGTTGTCACCTTATGTACTATAATTACTGCTGTCACAATATAAACTAGTATGACTGTTGTCACCCTATATATTATAACTATTGTCACCCTATGTGGTATTCTGACTGTTGTCAACCTATGTATTATTAATACTGCTGTCACCCTATGGACAAGCACTACTGTTGTCACCCTATGTACTAGTATTACTGGTGGCACCTTTTGTACTAATATTATTGTAGCCACCCTATGTACTATCATTACTGTTTTCACTCTTTTGTTAAGTATTGCCTTAGCACACTGTCCTAGCAGACAGAAGCTGAATCATGAACAATAAATATATTGATAAAAAGAAACATTGTTTATAAATATCTCGTGTAGTTTGTTTAATGATCGAATACAAAATACACTTCTCGCCATCAATAATAAAGAATGATATAGTTTTCTTAAAAAAAACGGAAAAAAATAGGCGATACATTATGTAGTATTTTCTTTACATTTATTTTTAGTAGTTTTAAGTCACAAATAAAATTGTCTTAGTCTTCCATATAATTAAAATCAATCTTATAAAAAGAAATGTTTTTGTGTTGTTATTAAGAACATCGTAAAGAAAAAAACTGCATGCGTTATTTTCTTCACTCCGACACACATTATTACGTATTTTAAATTTAATTTAAGAAATAAATAGAAATAGTGAAATAAAACAAAAATGATTTGTTATTTTTAATAAATTTTAACATGATACTTATGACTTCAATAAAAAAAAAAACAACATTTAGGGCGAAAGAACCTAGGGCGAACGGAGTTTAGGGCGAAACAGCCTTTAGCGCGAACGGGATTGAGGGCGAAACAAACAGTTACCGTATCATTAAGGTGTTAACTTGCTTTTTGTAATCTCTTACTTAAAGCAAACTGTTGTCGTGTCTAACATTCTAGTTAAAGGTTTCACTCCGTCTCTCTAATACTCTGTTGGCAAAATGTGTCAAATTGGGTATCTTAGCAGTTAATACACATCATTCTATGGGTCGCTATGTCTAGCACACCTGTCAAACGTTTGGTGTTTTGTTGTTTGTCCTACTTTATGATACACAGTGGAATTGGTTGTTTTGTCTTTATTATAACATAACATATTATCATGTTTTTGAGGTAATAACATCATAGTAAATGGAATCATGAAATAGGGAAAATTGAAAATTATATATCGATTTGTTTGTCAAAAGTACGACTTCATTGGGAACTCAAAAATGTATGCAGAAATTAAATAAACTTTACCCAAGGTTACTATAGACTGATACTTGTATCAATATTTGCCCGCTTTCGGGAAATTCGCCAACGCCCCAAATGCTGTCATATCATACGTTTATATAAGATTGAGACAACTTTACCAAATGATACTTTTAACCAAATTTTGTTGAAATAACTCTATTCATATTGAAGTTTTACACATCTATCCTGATGTTCCCCTATAATGTGATGTAAAGTATACTGACGGAAGGACGGATGACTCCAAGCAACGACATATATGGAAGCAAATCCTACGATAATACAAATTCGGATACATTAGTGAATTCTCTTGTGGAACTGTACTTAATATTATTGTAATTTACTCTGTTGCTAAGCACTACTTACAAGTATTTTTGTCGTCGAAGAATGTATTCATATTTTTTTATTAATATGCTAAGCGGATGTACTGTATTCAAAAAAAAATTCTCGTAAATCGTTGAAGTTATTATGAATTAAATGACGTCATTAAGTAATGGCAGACACCTTCAGGGGTACATATTTTCTTGCACCAAACGAGATAGCTCAGCTGTTAAGGAAAACTAAAATTCTAAATAATATTACAAGTAACACTGAGATAAACAATAAAATATTTTATGTTGTTCTAAATTTTACATACAATTGTCATATTTCTGTTCCTTTTTTAATGTTGAGAAAACAGACATCCTTAATTAAGCGCTTGTGCTGTTTATACCAACAACTAATGAAATATAGTAATTGAAAAAGTCCGCTTTCCATGCCAAGAACGCTTGCAGTTGTACATCATTGGTGATTCGGAAGGGTTTACTGCCTAGATCACGTGACTGTTATCATCACCTTAATACAAGAAAAAAAAAAAAAAAAACTATATTCGATTACAATGCATCTCAAATACTCACTTTCTTTTTATTGATGCAATGAAAAATGAAAAAAAAAGATGAAAAACACTTTGAAATATTTGCAAAACTCTATAAAAAAGGGACTTGACCATGTAATTATCCCGGGTTTGTTTTTTGTTTTAATAGCAACGAGCACTAGTGATAAATAATAATACACATATTGCTTTTCATTTACAAAGTCAAGTTTATAACAACTTAGATAATTTCTTTACTCAAAAACATGATTTGTAGTGACTACGTTTATTTCTTGTAGATGTAGTTAATATGATAAACGTTGGTCCTCCTGTCAGTTTCTACGTTAAACAATGTAACAACATTTGTATAGATCGTCAAACATGTGTGAAATATGTCTGCGACAAGGTAATCATTACATTTCTGACAAAATTATTATATTTTTACGTTTAAATTGAAAACATGACGATAGTTTGTGTGTTCACATCACTTACACTTTTTCATCTTTATATCCACACACTTGGGTTTCCTTGAGTAGCCCGTCAACAGATACATGTTGGAGAAACACCTGCAAAACGACGTAAACATACCAACTAAATCTGATTGTTAAAGGAACCAAATCCTTCTCTTTAAACAAGAAATATTTATGTTCTTACAGATATAATGAATGTTAACTTTCAAGAACTCTTAGTAATGATATATGGAGTAATAAAATATCCAGGCATTATAGCACATGGTATTTTCCTATATGTTATAAGTAATACTAATGGTATTTTTACTCATATTTTTACTAGAGATATATGTCAAAACCAAAGTGATCGAAACCAAATTATTGTGATGAGTGGTAATAAATATGACAATCGTTATATAATTCCTATGTCGATTTTTATACGAAGTATGAGTAATAGATGTTTTGAAAAGTATAAATTTACCTTAGGTCTCATGAAACTTACCAATATTTACTCATATAGTTTGATACGATTTAAACATTAAAAATTCACTGTTATGGAATTGTTTCGTTTAAAAAAGTAGACAGAACCGTATTCTACTAAATTCTCCTTTTTAAAGAAGGAGTCGTGGGTAAATGCAAAACACGTATTACCTTTTCAACAAGGAATAGCTGATCCATCCAGTGTCGGTTTGACCAGTATCATTTAGATCTGCATTTCACGTTACTATATACGGTCTATCTGGAAGTATCAGTACAAATCTTAAATCGAGATATCTTTTCACTAATGAATGTAACCACATTACCAATTTGTATTTCAAAGTACTTGTTTCCATATTTGAGTGTACTAAATCGTCTCTGTTTATCATTAATTTATTTCACCTTTTCTCATAGGAAAAATACCCCTAGTTAGATAAGCTGTTTTCTGTGTTTAGTTGGCGACTCCCATACAAATGTTTTTCGTACAAATGTTAATAAAGAATACGTAATTAACGCTATTACTTTTATGATCGTAAGCCGAACCAATACAAGACAATAATTCCTGTCCACCTATCATTATTCAAGTTGTCTCATCTAGGACAACACTATTTCATATTTCTAATATTCAAACTATGGACGTGTATAGATAAAAAATCGATGCAGTATTTCAGTACGTGTTTATATCCTTACCAGAACACTGCCGTTGAAATAGCATCGACATCGTTTGTGAAAAGTTGGTTATGTTGGTGCTGAAGTCGCTAACTGGTATGTCTCCAAACCGTCCACCTAATCTTAGAAAACAATACAACACCCTGCCCATCTAAACCGAATATATCCACCCATATATTCACTCTGGCACACACTTTCAGCAACATGACAAACACATGCTTATTGAATTGACGACACAATACTTTACGTTAAAGAGAAATCAACACAGACAACACGAAACGGCGAGAAACGATACTATAGTAGCATAGTTATCAAAATTGTGTTATATTATAAGCAAACTTGTCATATAGATTATATAGTTTATCATAAGGAAGTGTATGAAATGTCTGACCATATTACATAGCATCGTGTTACTATATATCATACGTCAAACCTGAAATAAAATAGCAGGTGTAATATTAATGATACCGGAATAACCTTTCACATGAAATTCACACTACTTGTATTATTAATGCGTGGTAAGTAATCACTTCATACTATATTTTTATATATAATAGTTAAACTCACTAAGAAATGAACATCATATATAGAAATTAAACTAGCTGGTTTGGTGTAACTCGTGGAATAACCAACGTATTTTACTAAAATGAGACCACAATGTAACAACAAGTATTTTCACAAGATAATATCTGACACCTGACATTAACCACCATCAAACACTTAATCGATATAGATTGGTTAGTAGATATCAATCAATTTTATTTATTAATTTTCAAGCAAATATATTACGGCTTTACCGATATGACATACAAAACATAAACATACATATTTGATTAATCAGGCAGATAATGTTGGTACATGTACATTAATAGTTACAATACGTAACGATTAATTTATGTTTTACTACATTGCTATGTTACTAAAATGATAATATAATATACGATATATACGGCATCTGTATCCTTACAATATCAATCCGTTGTATTCTTATTTGAAACTAGTTGAACTAAAACAGGTAAAGGTAAGGTAAAGACGTTTCGCTACACTCCATCGTATAACAAATAGAAGGATGTAAATAATTCAACAGGTATTGAAATTCATTTTAATCCTTAGCAGAAAGCTATATGACAAATAATTCATAAAGGAACCTTTACAAATTATTTCTGATATTTTTTTCCCAAACTTTGTTTCAATCTTAGAATAAAGTGTTTCCTCTAAGTATTCTATGAAGGGGTAACTTTAGTCCCCATCGCTGTATCCTTAATATGTTGAAAATATCCTTGATAAAAATAAAAAAAGTATTACGATTGAGAACAATGTCTAGAGCTTGAGGCGCAGAAAATCAAAATCGTCTTTGATATAAACTGTTTACACTTAAAACCTTAGAAAGGTTCAGAATGAGGTCTACAAGATGACTCAAACGTTGCGTTGCAATATTAGGACCGCCTACGCTCGGTTTAAACTTCGATCCGTAGGAGTTTCAACTTCAATATACATACAGTTTTGTTCTTCTATAGCTTTACTTATAATAGATTTTTTTTTAATTTTAGGCAAACCATAGAAATAACTAGTTGTATGCATAAAATTGACAAGATAATCTATCTCCTTTTTATGTAGGCACGCTTCATGTGTCGTATTAGCTCGTTGATTGATCTACGGGTTTCCGCATCGAAATCGTCACTTGCCGAAGTATTAAATTCAACATTACTAAGCATGTTATGTGTGCATTCACAAAAGAAATATCTATTCATGACTACTACTGCATTGCCTTTATCTGCTTTTTTCTTAAAGAATCCAAAGCACATCTGTAAGACAGATTACTTTTTACGTGTTTATGACTATTATTATGTAAAGGGATTTTTTTTTTAAACTAGTAATGACTTCTTCTCAATATTCGTCCGAACTTCTTGGTGGGTTTCATTGCAAATTGTTATAGACTTACGCCGTTGTTTCCAACTTATCGCATAGACGAAGTGTTATGCAGAATTTTAGAATGTCCGCCTGAAGTTCTTCGTTATCGTTTTTATCTGGTGTTGGACAAAATTTAAAACCCTTTGATAGCAAATCAATTTCATCTTTTGATAATTTTCTTTTAGATAAATGAATAACCTTTGGGGGACCTCGCTCTACCATATTTGATTTAATTTTGTCTGTTGGGTGTCGTTGCTTTTTCTTTTTCTTTTTGTTCCTCCAACTTTGTTTACATTTGAACAACGCCCTAAAAAATGGTATTTTACACTTTGACTTTTATATGTCGTCCCCGATTCCCGATATAATCCATGTGTTCCTGTAACGTCATCTTGTCTGCTGTAAGCTTTTTAAATGAAATAAATCTGAAGCTTCATGTGAAGGGTAAAATCAGCTAGTTTTTTAGTCGGTCGTTATATCTTATTTTTTCTATTGATATATGAATATTAACTGTCCATGTGAAGTAGGTAAGTATTGAAAAAAAATATGATTTAACAACCGACGAAAAAAAACAGGCTGCTTTTACCATTCACATTGAATTTAAAATCTGAAGATCCCTGTGAAGGGTGAAATCAGCTTGTCGCTTAGCCGGTAGTTATATCTTATTTGCTCTGTGAACATATATTATACGTTAAATTCGTTTTGTTATTCGTACACTGACGGTATTTCTTAAGAATCACTGACGGAAAGCAAATATTTGCGACAAAAAATATAGTAGAAGTATTCTTATTTTTGACTTTTATCAGTTTTACAACTTTAGGCAAACAATGTTTTTTGTTTTTGTTTTGTTTTTATCAGGTCCGCCGTTGATTGGTGTCGTCGTTAACATTAAAAACAATATATATATTAACATTTATCTGCCAGGGTCACGCTTTGGTTCCTGACTTAATCTATATTCAGTGCTATGATATGTAGGAGGCAGTCGGGATCAGGAATTCGCGGATTCATCAATTGTATACCGTCACTTATTAGTTTGATTGATTAGTACAATTCCTTGTTATCAAATTAATTACATGTACGATTCTATATCAACACACCTAATTTTTAAAAGGCTTTCGTTGTGTAACGGGAGAGTATTAAATGTGCAAGACCATTTTTTTAAACTGTACTGGTCCTTGATATCTTTTTTTTTTTTGACAACTGCCCATAATGTTACATACTCCTTTGTTTACCATTTATGCGTATTAACTTAATTCAATTGTTTTGAGAGACTCGTGCAGGTGAGTTGGGCAAGGCCATACAGTGTCTAATTGTGTTACAGCGGATGACAGTACATTTGAAAACACGAATAGTTAATTGCGGTAAAGGGGAATCTTTAGAAGTTATAAAATTATATAGATGACAAATGCATCAGTTTATTTATGTTTGTTTAACCATGAACGTGCAATTTAAACGCCCGCCCAACGTTGCTACAATACTTACACCTGACGATAAGATTCCAGGTCTTTGTTCCCTGACCGACACTGTTACTGGCTGAACATGTGTATTGTCCTGCATTTCCCCTCACGGCCGTGGACAGAGATAGAGGATTTGGGTAAGTTGTGCCTGCGTTCGACCAGATGTATGTACATGGCGGTTCACAGTCAGCAAAACAGACGATATCTGACACAGTCTGATTCTCAACTCTTTCTAACACATCTTTGTTTGGCTGGAATGATATGCTGTTACCTGGTCCATCTATAAGATACATATATGATGCACCTTATTTTTAGTACCTATTGAACTTTATAATAAGCAACCGCCTGACAAAAACAAATATAAGAAAAAATATCAACTATATAATGCCTATACCTTATAGACAACAATCAATCGTGAGTCGTCGGGAGTTTCCGCTGGTTACCATTTAACCTTTCCACAGCAGGTATACACATTAATACATGTAGCTAAAAGAAGTATTTCCATAATACAACTACAAAATCACTTAAAAGTAAATGGAAAACTCCTGGAAAACGACCTGATACGGCAAAAAACAAAGGACAGCACTTGGATAAGTTCACGTGTCTACGTTGTCCATCCCAATCACTCGTCATAGGTGGCGGCATCACCATATAGAACCATTCGGAATATACATTTACAGCTTGCATGAAGAATCGGTCTGTTTGTGTTTTTAATTTATTTTGTATTATTCTCCTGTCATTTATTCCAATATATCTGTTTCGCATTGTATATACAAGCAGCAAACTTACATTTCACAACCAAAACATAAAAGAAAATATACAAAATTGAAATATACAGAAAAAAGTGAAATAAATCAATTCATTACGCTATTTAATCAATCTTACTTAAGATAACTAATTTAGCTATTTCAATCAAAATGCATGTTTGAATATGGTATACTTTGCGAATGCATGTACTTGTATTCATGTGTACAGATACATCAGCCAATTGAAAGACTCTACGGAACATTCCAGCCATGATGTATCTGAGCCAGGGGAGCCAGAAGATAGCAGGAAATACTTACCAACCTCGTTATTTTTTATTCTATGTAAACTTAACATTAGTGAAAAATGTGTGTAAGCCTGTAAGCCCTCCCATGTCGAGGACATATACATGTTATGGGCTGAACCCAGGGCCTCTCAACCCTGGCAGTCTCCTTTCTTTCTCTGCTAAGGAAATTAATTAAAGGAGATAACACGGATCAACCACGACACCCTTTCTTAATACGTACAGTTTACTGTAACAGTGACGTCACTAGATGTCTGATTTCCGTATTTGTTACTGGCCGTACACCTGTACACGCCCGTCTGACCACGTTGTATGTTGGTGAGCTGGATATCTGACCCTGTTGTGTGGGACTGCTCATCCTTTGTCCAGCTGTAGGTACAGACTGGGTTACAGTCAGACGAACACGTGACGGTAGGGAGAGTCTGTCCCTCTTGAGGAGTGTAGGATGTAGTCGATGGGGTCAAGTGCACAGTTGCAGGACCACCTTTAATAATAATCAAAGAAAACAAATGTAAGATACAATTTAAATGATTCGGTATTTCCTATCTATAGATTAACAAACTGGCATATGTATAGGTACATGTAACTACTCTCCTTATAACTGATACTCTTTGTAGCATTAACTTTTGTGGATGGTGTTTTTCTCATCTTGAATCACGAGTATGAAAACATCAGAAGTAAAAATATGTTTCAATATATTAATATTTACGTCCATTAGGCAAATTTGTTTACGTGGAATGGACATTACATTGACAAGCGAGCAAAATTAACTTGACAAAAACAAAGAATATTAATTAGGATAATTATGACTAGATTTTGTGTTTTAGTTTTGGTTTGTTTTCATTTGGATTAACGCGCTTTTTTACCTTGTAGAAATGCAGAAAGAAAATGTAAAGATGCAATATTTGTCAATGGATAAAGCAGATTTATTTTAGTTTGGAAAGGGGCGTGCTATTAACAGCTTAGGTCATATATAGGACCTTGTAAGGACGCCCTACGTGAGACAACTTTAGTGTATGGATCTCACGGAAGCGGGTGAGCATTGCTGTGGTGCTACGGAATCTTTCATCGGAGTAAATCAGCCTGAAAATGAACCGTCTGTTGGGGATGACCTGACTGGTTGATAAAGTTTCAAGAGCGGCAGAGAGGTGTCCAGATGATAAGTCGTATGTCTACCAAATTCAAAACTAAGGGGATGAAGGCTGAATATGCGTTGCAGGCGACTCGTGAAAACATTCCAAACCACATCGCGAACTTTTCCGATCAATCCAGCATGGCACTGAGCCCATATGAAACGAATTGTTCGACGTGCTTTGTTAAAATCAAATGAGAAATGCAAATTGTGCAAGGATTTAGAATTGTAAAAATATTTAACCGCCAGTGAACAAGGGTTATTAAAGAAAACAAAAGAATGCCGACGTGTAGACAAAACTGTCATTCAAACTCAAAATCGATGAACACAATTTAGGAAAGAAACAATAATACAAGGTGCTTTGCAGGGTTCGCGTATTTTGATTCAGCGAAGACAGCTGCCATGTAAATCGATGTCACGTATCAAATAAACACAAGTGTCTCATAATCAACGATATTTCAATATCATACAGGTAAATAAACAAAATATGAAACTAGAGCAACTATCGCATAATGATATGCACCATAGCGATATCACATCTTCGTTATTGAACCACCTGGCGACAGCTGGGCACAGATAGCAACAATCAAAAAGACGTCCTATGTTATGCTGAGAACGGAGTGGTAGTTTAAGGGCTATTATCTCATTATTAACGTATATGTCCGTGTCGATACTTAAATATTTTGGGAATGATTACAGAATTGTGTTATGTATGTGAGAGAAACATATTATGTGTTAGAGAGAAACGTTTCTCTAATCATGGACAAGTGCATCCGCACTTTAACCGGTGTGATATTCCTTGTCTCACCACAGGGTTGAGACGGGGGGATTCCCCTATTCGTAACAATGGTATGACGTCACTTCAACAATGCAATGACGTCACGTCAACAATCCATCAACGTCACGTCAACTCTGAGTTTATCATGTAAGGTTATCATGATATTGTGTATATGATACGCAATGGACCATTCACCCCCTTGTGGATGAGATAAGGGAATCTCAACCCAAGGGGACAAATTCTTAAGCGGCAAAACACTCGGCAAAGCCTCGTGTTTGGCAACTTAAGAATCTTTCTTCTTGGGTTGAGATTCCCCTATCCCACCACAAAGGGTGCGAGATATTCTTTTAATTATGTGATAGAGAGAAACATATTATATGAGAGAGATAAACATGTTATGTGAGACAGATAAACATGATATGTGAGAGAAAGAAAGATAATATGTGAGAAAGAGAGAAACATATTAAATGATAGAGAGAAACATATTATTTGTGAGAGTGAAACATATTACGTGATGGAGAAAAATAATTATGTGTGAGATATAAATATATTATATGAGAGAGAGAAACATATTATGTGAGATAGAGAAACATATTATGTGAGAGAGAGAAACATATGATGTGTGAGAGAGACATGTACTATGTGTGAGAGAGAAATGTATTATATGTGCGGGTTTTACATGTTTATATGGTTTTGGTGTTGCCATGGAATTACATTTATTACAAATCATCATGTTAATTTGGGGAAATATGGTAGACAGTTGTTTTTGTTTGTATTTTGTTTTGATTGTTGTTGAAACAGGCTCGTTTTCACTACATTTTGTGCGTGTATATATGTAAGCCTATATACTCTGAGGTCATAAAGTTAGTTCGTTCTTCAAATGCAATAACCACAATACCTCCTCCATGAGGTTTAAATGTCCTATGTCTCTTTGTTTAGAAAATAATACCCCTGTAAGCGTTTAGAAGATTGGTCATTTTAACCAAGATCAATTACCTTTAGTTCAAATTCAACTTAATTTGATATTAACAAATTACAGGCTGAAAAATACACACTGTCTACATTAACATGTCATTAAAATCACATATAGATTTTTGAATAGTGTAATAGACGTAAGTGTTATGCCCCGTTAAACTAACCGAGTATTTTTAAACGTTAATCTCAGATGTTCTCTGATGTAAACATGATCTGTCGCAAACGCTGATTTAGTCATGGGTTATCCCAAGGTCGCTTGTTTGTAACGCATGTGTAGTCAGACGGAATTTACGAACATGATTATCACAGGTTAAATCAGTTTATCGTGTGATCTAAATTAGGCTGTATATTGTAAGTCAGATATTTTAAATCCAATGCACAATATGTAATACGAATGCACATAATATACATGTATTAGGACGAGGGTTTGTATTGCTAGCTTAATGAATGATTTCAAAAACAATGTCTCATTCATTATTGATTAAAAAACATGACTACCAGGACGTATATTAATAGCGATTACATCAGCGTAGTCAATAGGGACCCAACACAATCATGCTAATAAAACACTGCCTGAAAGGGGCATCACGGTGAAGTATTTTTTTTTTTGTCGTTTTTTTTTTCAAATACTACATAAACATATTAAGTGAGACTCCGTATGGAAAACAACGATCGGATTTGGCTTAAATAGATTCATAAAAATGATTAAATCTAAGAAAATCATCGGTTTTTCTACCTGTCTGACCAACGTTTTGTTCAGGGTTTTCACTCTACTAGCGCATGCGCTTAGCACACCATTTCTTTATAAACAAAATGACTGACCGTGTGAAGTAAGCGAACGAAAAGTGTTGGACCGTGTCAGCTACGAAACGAAAACTTGCCCAATGGTCAAATAATTGCGCAAGGAGTACATTACGGAATCATTATTGCAGGTGGGCAGTATTCAAAGGCGAAAATAACTGTCCTAGCAGTTACTACGGTGCATGTATTCTTCCGGATAGCCGGTTAAGCTGAAATGGAATTGACAAAAATGCTAGCGCTGTTTATGTTATGAATGCATATCTAAAACTACTAAACTCGCTAGTATCTTTGTCTGAGTTTGAACACAGACGAACTTAGTTCAATATGTTAATGGGCATGCATCGGAGAGTTTACTTTTTGTTTCTATATTTATACAGTGGTTTATGCAAAAGGAAGGGATAAGTGCGCTATTAGATTTACATAATTGATAATATTACCGGGTTCAGTAAAATGTTTGATTTTATTATTTTGCTGAATTAAACGATTATTTGTGTGTTTACATGCAAGATTAAATTAGTACTAATATGAATACCCGGCCTCCTATGCCCCGGCAATATATAAAAAAGCACAAGGAAGGTTTGAGGGAAGGTGTTCAGCCCCGTACCATCTGTACCTGTCACATTCCGGTACTAAATTCAATATATATTTGTAAATATCTACTTTATGTTTATGCCTATTATCATTGTTGACATTTAATTGTAAATGTATGACGGGAGAAGTCTGTGATAAATTGTAAAAACTTGTGCCCCATCGCTTGTTCAATTTTATTGGCAACAAATATGTTTAAAGCTAAATAAGTTTAAATTTTGAATATTGGCAAGAGTGCAATTAACTTCTGATGATGAAGAATTACTGTTCAATAAGTTTGAATACGGACTTAGAAATCATATTATTTGGTTTCATAGTGCTGTAAGAAGTTGCAGTTGCCTTACGGCCCCTCTGTGGGGGCCACTATGGAAACCGTTTTATATCGCTCAGACCACTTGTGTGTACTGCCTAGTCAGGTGACGTTATCGGCGCTATATTTAGCAGGGCTTTCCCGAACAATTCAAGTGGTCAAACTGCATATTTGGAACGGACTATGAATATGTGAATAGCGAGGTAGCATAAGTGGAAGTGCATACAATACATACATTCATTAAAAAAATATGGCTCTTCACGTGATATACCTTTCATATTAGACGAGTTTATTTTTACGTCTTCGAATGCAGCTAAGATATTACGACGCCGGTGTATTTTGTGATAGGGACAGTCAGGAGTGATCGTATAGTACCACACACTCAAATATCACACCGTTCGCCCAGTGGCTTCTATCATACACTCCATTACTACACAGGAAGGCAAACGAAAATAAAGATGAGAGAGAATAAGTAGGGTAAAATCAGAAGTGTTTCTATAGGACATTAGATAAGTTTGGTCTCTTTGATTCTAGCATACAATGAAGAATGAAACTTTAACATATCCCAGTTTCGTAGGTAAACGCCATAAGACTCTTTCATGCCTTGGGGTGTAGGATAGGAAAATGCCACCTGGATGGTTTTTCAAACTTAATTAAACCCGAGAAAATGAGAGAATATACATTCCTTTTTTAATTATTATATCGAATGCTTTAATGTAATGCTATATGATTAAGTGTCAAAGTAGGGTCATTAGAATTAAGAATTTGGTTTGCATATATGCTAGTTTATACAAAGGTAATTCGTTAATTACATGTTAGCGTACCCTACGATGTGTATAACGCCTATCCTTTACCGTAGTTCAGAGTAGCCGTGTCAGACTTAACACACTGAATGCATTC